ACTGGTCTGTCCTGACCCCTCACCCGTCCCTCCACCCACTTGGCCTTACAGTCACCAATTATCCATCCACTCTTGTACACCACCACATCCGTCTGCCAGCACCTACCTGTCCAGCCACTTACTCATGTATCTGCCAATCTGTCCATTTGTGTATAATCCATCCATCCACCCATCCACTTATTCATTCATACATTTGTCCATTTGCCCACCCTGCCATCCATCCATCCATCCATCTATTCATTTATCCATACCTCTGTATGTCTATCTGTTTATCCATCCATGCACTCACCTTCCTACCCTCCCGTCATGTACGGATGCACCCATCAACTCATGAATTCACCTGTCCCCCATCATATCCATTCTCCCAGTTCCCCTATCCGTTCATCTGCTCAGCCATCTACGCAACCACTTAACTCATGCTTTGTTTATCTGACTGTTCGCATCTGTTCACCCAGCCATCCATCTCCCAGGTTTTTATCCACCTACCTTCACCACACCCTTCACGTGTATCTCTCCTCCTCCGTTGTCCCATCATCTCCTCATCTGGCCCTCAGTTCTAATGCTTTCCTCCTCATTCTTGCATCTGGTCAGGGAGCACCTCCTGGCCAGCTCCTCTGTGCCAGGGCCTGGCCGCCACCTCTGAGCCTCAGGGTTTGGTCAGAGATGGGACTCGGACAAGATCCACTCTCCTGCAAGGTGGAAAGTGGCTTGTGGTCTCAACAGGACAAAGCGAGCAAATGAACAAACACAGACAAAACAAAAGCACCAGATGTACAAAATGCAGAAGGGCTTCGTGGAAGAGGTGCAGGTAGGAGAGAAAGAACTTGGGGAAGAGGGGACTGTACTGGCCTCCTCATGCTGGGCGTGCAGGAGGGAAGGCTGCCCCCGGAGACCTGAGAGAACTCCGTGGGGAAGAGCCAACAGCAGTGTTCCAGTAGGTGATGAGCTCTGGGAGATCAAGTGGGAGGAAGGAAATGCGACAGGAAGGGCAAGAAGCATTGAAGGAGTGTGTGTTACCGGGAGAGTCCCTGCTGGGCCACTGCAGCTCCGTGACAGCATGGCCCCTCCCCTGCCAGCATCCGCCCCCCCCCCCGCCCCTGCCCACCTGCTCTCATCACTCACTGACCGAGGCTGTCCCTGGTCCACCGTGTGCACTGGCAGCCCCTGTGGCTAAAGGGGATCATCAGATGGGATGGTGTTGGTATTGACGGTGAGTATCTGGGCAGCTGGGGCCCTGGGCTGCTAGTGCATCCCTGTCTGCTCCTAGTTGAGCACATCTGGGCGTTCTGTGGCTGTTCCTCTCCTTCGGCCATGGATGTTGGCGGGTCGTGGCTGAGCACCGTGGGCAGAGGACACCCGAGTACCCAGCAGGAGGCATTTGGCCTAGAAAAAGTGGTCTCCTACATAGCCAGGTTCAGCCTGCCCCAGCCAACCTCCCCTCGGCTGTTTGACTTGCCTCTCCCCTCCTCTGTACCTGGCTCCCCTCAGAGCACCAGCCTCCCCAGCTGCAAAGGAAGGAGCGGGTTTTTTTCTAGATCTCAGGCCAAGGCTCATGGATACCAGCTGGGTTAAGAAAGATTCTGAGGTTGCTGCTGGATGTGATTGGTGATGTCTGCTGGGGGCACAGGCTGGAGGAGGGGGAGGCCTCTGCAGACCATGCACCCAGAAGTCTCTTGTGTGTTACAAATGAGAGTGATAGCCATGGGGTTGGTGCCGTGAGTGTCCTTGAGCCGCTGCTTTTGGGTGCCAGTTTTGGGGTGCTGATGGAGTTGTGGGACCCTGAGGGTGCATGGGGATCTGAAAGGCGGGGTGACCCTCCTCAGTTATCAGTCGCATGGTGGGTGTAGGGAGTGAACCAGTGTGTTTGTGAGACCCAGATCAGCCCCAGTGGTAGCGAAGGGCAGTTGCTGCTGCTTCCTGGGAGCCCACTCCACTGTCCCTGCAGCTCAGTGCCTGCCTGGCACCCGGGAGCAGATACCCAGGCCTTACCCGGGTTCCTCCCAGATGTATCGAAACCTGAGGCGCCCAGGGCTAGGGGACTGGGCTCGGAGAGTTGCACTTCATCCGGAGGCCCCTCCCAGTGACTCGGGCCCCACCCTCGGGTCGGATGGCAGCTGGGCTGGCATCCTCCCTAAAAGCTTGCGTCTTGGAGCCAGACAGAGGCCCTGGCAAGCTGGATCCAGGCTGGCTTCAACATTCCTCTTGGGTCCGTTGTCGGTTGCCTGCTGCCGGGCTCACCTCGCCGTTCTCTGGGTTGATCATCTGTGTGGCTCAGGTAGGGTGCCCCAGCATCCCTCGGATTCCCCCCACCATTGCCCCCGGGCCCCCCGTGACCCCTGGGCATCTGCTGAAGAGGCCTTCACTGTCGCCTGGTGCATGTGGCTCCTGCCCTTGAGTTGCTTGGTGAGCTGGGACACATCTCTCTTTTTTTTTTTTCTCTGTCCCGGCTTCTTTCCCATCTATAGAACAGGGAGCTGGCCTCTTCCAGCAAAGCAAGTTCTCTGATCCCATTTTTGAACTCTGATGTCCTCCTTGGCGCCCCAGTGGGGAAGCGCCAGACAGGCCCGCGTGTCCCTGGTTGTGGATGTTACCTGCTGCTGTTTCTTAAACGTAGCTTGTTAGCGCTGTGCAGCTGTGAAAGGCTTCTGGCGATTCTGTCTGTGCGGGCAGGTGCTTGGCTGCTGGGTGAATTTGCTGTGTTTGCCTGATGCCCAGTGAGGGCTTCCCACATGATGCACACACACACGTGTACACACGCTGAGGCAGAGCTGCACGTGGACATAGCACACCGCACATATGCACACCCATACACGCACACACGTATGAACACACAAGCACACGTGTGTGCATACACCACGTGCATACACAGTATGCCACACACGCACACCACAGCCATGAATACAGCGCAGATGCACACGCATGCGTGCACAGCAGCCCTCGAGAGGCCAAGGGCTCTGGCTCAGTTTCTGGGTGACACTGGAGGAGTGCCTTCACCCTGGGTCTATTTCTGGCTTTGAGACGTGGAGGAAGGGGCATGAACTTGAGCTTGCCGATGCTGTCTGGGTGATTCTAGGGGGAATGCGTGGAGGTGCAAGAGTTCCCAAGCCTGGCTGTTTCCATGTGGGTGGGCAGGAGGCCCAGCCCTGGCAGGGACACCAGGAGCTGCTACGGCGCCCTCGGCTGCCTGGTGTCCGGCCAGGCCCGTGGCCTCTGATTCGTGCGATTCTATGTCCTGCAGGCCCCGAGCTGCTGCCTTCAGCTGGAGCAGCCATGACCCGCTGGACGTCCTTCAAGGCGCCCAGACAACACAAAGCTGCCCACCGGCGTCTGAGCGCCCCCGCCCCGTGGAAGTCCCCGGGGTCTGGGCCTGAGCCGTCTTCCCAGCACAACCCCAGGGGGCCTCCCTGTAGCCGGCTCTCTGCCTCGTGGCCTAGGCAGAAGCAGTGCCCACTGTCACCTCCTCGGGCCTCAGCTCCCCAGACCTGCGGTGACGGTGAGGGCAGTCCGCGGAGCACGCTGCCGGGAGGGCGGCTGGGCGGATCTTGTCGCAGACGGAAACAGTTCGAATCCCAGCTCCACTGTGAGATGCTGTGTGGCCCAGAGCGAGGCTCTTTATCTCTCTGAGCCTTGTCTGGAGTGGACACCATGCCAGCGCCTGCCTCCCTGGGATGCCGAGAGGCTGTTCTTGGGGCGGGTGCTGTGGGCACCTGCCTATCCTGGGGTCCTTGGACTGAGATTCGGCTCCGACTGGCTCCGACCCTCCTCTCTCCCAGGTGTTGGGAGCAGAGGTTGGCGGCCAGAGGTCAGAGGCCGTGGGCCCCACACTCAGGGCTCTGGCTCCAGGTCTTTGCAGGATAAGGCTAACTCTTCTATTCCCAGGGCAGCGTGCACCAGTACACACAATGCCAAGTCATCCTCCATGGGGACTCAGTGTCTTCCTACTGACCCCAAGGGCCTTGGGGCTCTATCCAAGTCTGAGCTTGCCCCTGATTGGGGCTGGGGCTGTAAGCCGTGCCCGTGTGTGGCAGGTGTGTGCCCAGCTCCTCAGGGCAGCCTATACCACTAGGTGCCCTTGCTTCTCTAACCTCCCACCCAGCCTGGCCCACCTGGCGGGGGGCGAAGCAGCTCTGCTCGCAGAGCCAGGGTTACTCTGGCTCAGGGATGTCTCAGCCTGGCACTGGCAGTGGGCAGGGCTGCTAGCTGCTACCTGACAACAGGGTCTGCTCTGCTGGCTGTGGGGAATGGCATGTGACTCTGTGTGTGTGTGTGTGTGTGTGAGACCCCCCAGGAGTTGCTCCCTAGTGCAGGCTGAGGGCTGCAGTGGGAGCAGGGGGCCCTGGTGGGTCCCTCCGCGAGCCTGGGAGGTGGCCCTGTATTCCTGATTTAGAAATGATGCAGGCAGAACCCGAGCAGCCCCTCAGCCCAGGGCCAGTGGGTAGGTGCCCCCACTGGTGGCTAGCAGGTCAACCTCCGTGCTCTAGGCAGGGCCCAGATCATGAATCCAAACTTCTCTGAGTTTCAGGGGGGAGGGAGCGGTACCAGGCCTTGTTCTAGACCTCGAGGGTAAGGCCCCAGCGAGAACAAAATGACGAATGCTCAGCTGGCACAGTGCCTGAGGTCTCGGAGGGGGATGGTGCGTGTCCTGTAGGCACTGTCACTGCTGTCGCTACTGCTGATGCGTCCTGTGGTTCAGGCCAGAGGGAGCCACTTGGGGGCTGTGACTATAGCAGGGAGAGCCAGTGTATCCTGGTGTCCCAGGGCGAGCCCCTGGTTCTGAGGATAGACCCCATGGCTGCTGCTTGCTGGACCTGGGGGACTGGTGTACCCAGGATGATGGGGAGGGAGGAAGGGGAGGAGGGTGGGGACAGGGGAGACTGAACAGGAGCCTGGTGAGTGGCTGAGGGTCTGGGTGGGGGTGTGCAGCAGGAGCTGGGTCCCCCTCCTCCTGCTTGTCCCACCCTCAGGTAGACCACCATCCCTGTGTTGCAGGAGCCAGCCTGGGCACGAGCCGGGGCTCCCCGCCACCCGGGATGACCGCAGCCAGCCGGGCCAACCCCTACAGCATCGTGTCATCGGAGGAGGACGGGCTGCACCTGGTCACCATGTCGGGCGCTAACGGCTTCGGCAACGGCAAGGTGCACACGCGGCGCCGCTGCCGCAACCGCTTCGTCAAGAAAAACGGGCAGTGCAACATCGAGTTCGCCAACATGGACGAGAAGTCGCAGCGCTACCTGGCTGACATGTTCACCACCTGCGTGGACATCCGCTGGCGCTACATGCTGCTTATCTTCTCGCTGGCCTTCCTGGCCTCCTGGTTGCTATTCGGGGTTATCTTCTGGGTGATCGCCGTGGCTCATGGTGACCTGGAGCCGGCTGAGAGCCGGGGCCGCACCCCCTGTGTGCTGCAGGTGCACGGCTTCATGGCGGCCTTCCTGTTCTCCATCGAGACGCAGACCACCATCGGCTACGGGCTGCGCTGCGTGACCGAGGAGTGCCCCGTGGCCGTCTTCATGGTGGTGGCCCAGTCCATCGTGGGCTGCATCATCGACTCCTTCATGATCGGCGCCATCATGGCCAAGATGGCGCGCCCCAAGAAGCGGGCACAGACATTGCTGTTCAGCCACAATGCCGTGGTGGCATTGCGCGACGGCAAGCTCTGCCTCATGTGGCGCGTGGGCAACCTGCGCAAGAGTCACATCGTGGAGGCCCACGTGCGCGCCCAGCTCATCAAGCCCAGGGTCACCGAGGAGGGCGAGTACATCCCGCTGGACCAGATCGACATCGACGTGGGCTTCGACAAGGGCCTTGATCGCATCTTCCTGGTCTCGCCCATCACCATCCTGCACGAGATCGACGAGGCCAGCCCGTTGTTCGGCATCAGCCGGCAGGACCTGGAGACGGACGACTTCGAGATTGTCGTCATCCTTGAGGGCATGGTGGAGGCCACGGCCATGACCACGCAGGCCCGCAGCTCCTACCTGGCCAATGAGATCCTGTGGGGCCACCGTTTTGAGCCGGTTCTCTTCGAGGAGAAAAACCAGTATAAGATCGACTATGCGCACTTCCATAAGACTTATGAGGTGCCCTCCACGCCCCGCTGCAGCGCCAAGGACCTGGTCGAGAACAAGTTCCTGCTGCCCAGCGCCAGCTCCTTCTGCTACGAGAACGAGCTGGCCTTCCTAAACCGCGATGAGGATGATGAGGGTGATACGGGAGACCCGGTTGCCGCCGCTGCCGCCGCTGTCCCCGGCCGCAGCCCCCAGGCCAGGCACGACTTTGACAGGCTGCAGCCGGCTGGGACCCTGGAGCAGCGACCCTACAGACGGGAGTCAGAGATCTGAGCCACTCCCGGGGCCTAGGTGCAGTGTCCGCTCCCGCCTTGCTGGGTTGTGGGGTGGGGATAAGGGAGTGGCCCCAGTGGGCGGCTGCCCGCTGCCCACTGCCCCCAGGTTGGAGCAGACCGGGCAGGCTGCGGGCTCACAGACTCAGTAGCGTTGTAGTTGTCTCCAGTTTCTTTGCAATAGCCTCAGGGGGTGGTCAGTGGGGACCGGAGAGTGGCGGTCCCTGGGCCTAGCAGGTGCAGAGCCTGGGAGAAGGGGAGGTGGGGGCAGGGCTCAAGCCCCTGGGTGCAGCCTTCTCCTGGCTGGCTGGCTGGCTGGCCCTGCCTCCTCGCTGCCAGGCGCCCAGCTGGTTTTTATAACTTGGGGAGAAACATGGGGTTTTCGGCTTTCTCAGCCCGAGCTTGGGTCAGACTGTTTACAAAAAAACAACCGACAACAACAATTGACAACCAATTAACAATGCGGTCGAAAACAGAATCTTTTTAATTCTCGGGTAGATCCAAGGACGATTAGAATTCTTCCAGACGCAAGCAGCTGGCTGGAGGCGCCAGAGGGTTCTCCGAGGCTGGACTGGCCTCTCCACCCCTCCCATCCCTGCCTCCACCCCGCAGCCCTGCCAGAGCAGGCGTGGGGATGGCAGGGCTCCGTGCTCCCCACCCTGCCCACCGCCTGTGCTCCCAGGGTGACCTAGGCCCCCTTCGTGTCTGGGAACCAGAGTGAAGGCATTTTGGCCGTCCCTGCCGGCGAGTGGTGGGGTGGTGCGGTTTGGGGAAAACCTGGTTTGAGCTTGCTAAGCTTGATTTTGTACCTCTAGGGGTGTGTCTCAGGGCTACAGCCGGGACCTGCCGACGAGGGTCCACTGCCCCCAGCCCGACTCTCGCCATCTTGCTTCTCTCTCCATTTCTGCTTGTGGCTCTGCCCCCCCTCGGGGCCTAAGAGCAGGTGGCTCCCTGGGCCGGGAGTCAGGCGGCAGCCAGGAGGAGTCGGTGAGCCCGTCGAGGGCTCTGGGCCCCCAGTGTGATGTGAGTCGTGCCTTAGACACTCCGGTTGTCCGGCTCCGGTTGCTTCTGTTTTTATCCGACTCATCCGTCCCTCCCTACAGCCCCAGTCCCTGCCGCCCACCCCCTCCCTGGGTACCCTGGAAGAGGTGGCAGGAGCTGGGCCTTAACCCACCCTGGTACAAGGCCATGTGCCCTTCCCTGCTCCCGGGACAGTCCAGGGTGGTCCAAGAGGGGACACAGAAGGGAGATCTTAGGAAAGGGGCGCCTCCCTCCTCCCGCTGACCTACCAGAATGAAGATGGGGATAAAAGGGTCATGTTTATTCCCCCATCCCCCTGGCTCCACGGCCCCGTGTTCCTGGCAGCTGGCAGGGGCCCCGATGGAGCCTTTTGTGCTGTGGAGCACCCTCTGCTTCTCCCAGGTCTCCTCACTTCCTGCTGAGGCCATGCCAACCTGTGCGTCTCGAGACAGCTCAGAACCGGAAGTCACTCTCTGACCAGAGTGGGGAAACTGAGGCGGGGCAGAGAAGGAGGGGTTTAGGTGGGGGCTCTGGCCTCATGGGGCCTCCTCCCTGGTTATAGGGGCAGACACAAGGCGGCCAGGGTCGGGTGGAGCAGTGGTATCAAGGGAGCCTCACTTGGGCACCTGCCCTGGCCTCCACTTTTCTCCTAGAGAAGTTCAACCCAGGGCGACTCCTGCCCATCATGATCTGCAGGGAGCAGGTGGGGTTCCCCTGGGACCCTGGGCAGCTGCCCCGCCCCCCGAGTCCCTGCCCACTCTCGGCAGGAGGGCAGCAGCCAGAGCTGGCACAGACTACTGCCTTTCAAACTCTCCTGCCCTCTTTGCCCCCAGTCTTGGTATTTATTTATTTATTTTATTTATTGCTTGTGCTAAAGACCAAAATAGTGTCCCTCTCTATCGCACTGGACGCGGGAGGGCAGATGGGAGAGGCCACGCGTGTGTGTGTGCATGTATGTGTGTGTGTGTGTGCTTGTGTAGGAGCAAGGGGGTGCCTTGGCCCCTGGTGTGTGTGTGTGCATGTGTGTGTGTGCGTGCGTGTGTGCGTGTGTGTGTGTATGCTTGTGTAGAGCAAGGGGTGCCTTGGCCCCTGGTGTGTGTGTGTGTGTGCGTGCGTGTCCTGCATTCGCCTGCGTACACCAACGTTACATAGGACTATCTCTGTGTGACGCAGAGACCCGTGGTGTGTACGTGGATGTCTGTCCCCACAGGTGTGTCCCTGTGCATGCTTCATGCACAAGACCTGTGTGTGGTCTCACCAGGTCCAGGCTGGGTGTGCCATCAGTCACGTGGGATGCTGGTCACAGGCGCCAGCTCGGGCGGGCCCCCAAATTCCCAGTCCTCTGTCCGATCGTAGAGGCCTGTGTCCGGCGGGGGTGTGTGTGGGAGGCAATGAGTGTTGGGTCATGTATGAACGTGTGTGTGTGTGTGTGTCCAGGGGTGTGTGTGCACATATGTCAGTGAGGTGGCATCCGCGTGCTCAAAATACTGGCCACCCCCCAATCCTTGCTGGTGCTGTGCTGCCTGGCCTCTGCCCGTGGGTCAGAGAAGGAGGCCTGGAGGCGGGCAGGGGGGAGTCGCTGTTGGGAGCCCCTGCTCGGGGTGTCGTCTGTCCCATGGGAGGTCGAGGTCGCAGGTCGTCAACTCTCTTTTCAATGGTGAAACCGGAGACTTCCCATGTTATTTTTCCATACTTAGTGGTATCTGCAGACATAACCACAAGATAGACCACATTAAATGCATTTTCATCTCTTGGAGTGCCACTGCGTTGCCATGTGTGTCTGACTGTCCCCAGCCTGTCCTATTGCCCCCCCTCCCCCGGGTGTTTACCCCAAGTGCTGGGCCAGAGTGGGTGGGTGGGGTTGACCCATCTTCATGGGGCGTGGGTGGGTCATGACTCATGGGCACACTCATTTCCACTGCACCCCAACCCTGGGCCAGCTGCCTTGCCCACCTTGGGCACGTCCTGCCAGGGGCTGCTGCACATTGGTCGAGGGACACTAAGGGACTCGCCCCAGGTAACACTGTGACCTTGCCTTCACCACTCGGCCACCACTGCCCTTGAAGACTCCTATCTTGGAGCCAGTATCCTGGCCGGGCAGAGGGATGGCCCAGCTGGGGGCCTGCCTGGGACCCTCCACCGGCTTGTCTTGAAACTCGGTCTCCTGTGGCTTGTGGGGAAGTCACAGCCCACCTTTCCCCCTGTGCTGAAGGGCTGCAGTCAGAGCTGCCCACTGGCCACCTGGACGTAGAAGTGTCATGAACTCTATTCTGACTTCTTCCTGGGGAACTCCAGCTGCTCCTGCACCTGCCATCTGGCCATCCTCGCCCTGCTCAGTCCCTCCTTCCTTCCCATCCTGTCCCCTGCGTCGGCACCTGCCTCCTCTTAGGTCCTTGGACTTGCTGCGCTTCCTCCTCATCAGATGCTCTCCAGTTCACCTCTGTGCCAGAGCAAGAGCAATGGCCATGGTCCCGCCTGTCCCCCTGGGCATCTCTGTGACTGTCTATCCTCCATCTGGGCCACCCTGGAGAATGGGGTTTCTCCACCTCTGTGCAATGCTGACTGCAGCAACAGGGGCCTAGGGGACACCGATTGTGACTGAGCCAAGCCTAGCAACGCAGTCAAACGCACACCGAGAACAGGGAAGCCGGGTGGAAGGATAGGGCCTGGGGGACACCCAAGGAGTGACATGTGTGTCTGAGACTGCAGGAGGGGTAGGTGTTTCCTGGCTGCACACGGAGGACACCCCGGAGGAACACAGGTGAAGCAAAGGGAGGCAGCTGGGCTGGGTGGGGCTGGATAGCCCAGTGGGTCCCAGGGCCTCACTCCCCAGAGGATCGTTCCCTGAAGCAGGAGCTCTGGGTTTTCCTATTTTGTAGGCTTGAATCAGCGTGCGGAAAGTGCACGTAGAATGGACCTGGGGCTCTGCTGTAGGTGTGGGTGCATGCTGACCCCTGGAGGCCAGCTGTGAGGAGTGAGGGACCCCAGGGGTTCAGGAGGAGATGTTGGGCGTGCCAGCTGCTCAGGCCCCAGGTCTGGGTTAGCGACTGGCTGCCTAGGGATCTCGTGCGAGGTGAGGTCTGCTTCCCTGCCTGCCTGGAGGAGGAGGACGGCTCTAACTCCAGGATACAATGAAATGTTCACACTTTGCCTTGTGTGTATGTATGCGCATGCGCCCGTGCACACACACTCTGGATTGTATCTTCGGATCGCTGCTGGACTGGACCGAGCTGGGGCCCCTTCTGGCACCTTGAGCTTCAGAGGCATCTGTGGAGCAGCCTCCTGTATCCACCTGGCCAGGTCTCCCTGCTGAGCCCTGGGTTGGTGCACCTGGCTGGGATAGATGCTGGCAGCCTGCTATGGTTCTTGCTCAGCGGATGTTTCTTTTCTCCTCCATACGCAGGCCACACATGACAGCACCGTGGGCGCTGTGAAGGAAGCAGAGAGTGATCTGAGGGGCCCTTAGGAGAAGGAGTGCTGCTGGCCCAGGCCATGCGAGCGCTCCTGAAGGCTTCCTGGGTGTGACTCTGTTCTGTCTGTCTCTGGTTCCATGCCCCAGACAGGGAACCAACTTCTCTGAGCCTCAGGTTTTTCCTCTGCAAAATGGGCAGTGTGCAGAGCTCAAGTAAGGAACAAGTAAGGAGTCTTCCAGTGTCATTGCCAAGTGCATGGACAGGTACGCCTGGACTAGCACCTCTTGTCCAACTCCATCCCCTGGGCACCCAGTGTCCCTCATGGGGCAAACTTGGGCTGGAGCTCCATGGGCTTGCAAGAGAGGAGGAAGCCAGCGTGGCTGCAGCAGACAGAGCAAGGGACAGTGTCCAGGACTGGGCTGGGCTGGGCTAGGGGTCTGCTGACCAGACAGGAAGTGGCACAGTGGGTGCTGGCATAGCTGGGAAGACAGGGAGGAGAGTAGGTAGGTGGGGGGTTGGGGGATGGGAGGGGCCCAAGGCTGAAAGTGTGGTCTGGTGAGAGCAGGTTAACACAAGGAGTCAGGGATGGGGAGAGGCAGGCGGGGCCAGAATGATGTTATCTTTGGACATTGAAAGCATTCTTACTTGTGAGAAAGAGATCTTCCACCTGCTGGTTCCTATGCAATAGCAGGGGTTTAGCCAAGTCAAGAGAGGAGCTGGGAACTCATGGGTGGCAGGGACCCCAGCACCTAAGCCATCATCACATAATGCCTCCCAGGATGGGCCACA